TACAATCCTGAAGAAGCCTTATATTGTCTAAATATCTAATATATGATGCCTCATTGATACCACCGTTGCTAGGGGGTTAGATCCTGCGCTCCAACCACCGTGAATGCTCCGGTTAAATGTTAACACGTAAGTGAAATATCCATCCAACGTTGCTGGTATAAGTGGCGTTTGTCAGGTGGGCTGAAAAGCTTTAGACCATGGGTGTACCACTTTCCTAAGCGTTTATTTTACCCCACGTTACGTCGTTTTTTGATAAGTGTCGAAGAGCCTTCCAAGATGGTTTGTTTATTGTCCAGCCTTCCATACTACTGTGTTGGCCGTTCTTCCGATACGGCGGTTCTCGGCTTCGCTCCGGGCAATCCGTCGTTATAAATACCGGTTCACAAAAGGTAATAAGTGGTGCGTACAGGGGTTTTGGTCGGTCAAAGTGCTGTGGCCGCCCAAAATTACGTACAGGCGTTAAGTGCAGTCGGGGTTCCCCTCAGCCTTCACATACCCATAAATAACAGGCAGTTCGAGAACGAGCAAGCCTGGGTTCAAGAAAAACCCACCGTTATAATCTATCGGTGATACGATTTGCTTCCGTGGAGGTGCTATTTCTGTCTAAGCGGTTAGGAGGAAATCGCTACTGTAATGAGTCGCAGACCCCGCTTTGTTAGACATTACGCAGCAATGGTAGTGCGTTTGTTTCCTAACTTTTGGGAAAGATGTTAATTGAGACCTGATCGGGTCACTGCAATCTAAACTCGACAGGCAACAACGTAACAGGAGGAAAGTGCGACCAAAGAGACATAGTTATTACGTAAAAAGTCAGCGTGGTTGAGGGAACCAAAAAAAGAACAACGGGTGTGGATTATGGCGAGTTCAGTGATGGGGCCGATTGATGTGATCTAGAACTGAAAATCTTTACTGGCCAGTATTCTGCATAAGACGGCTGATGGCTTGCAGTCAGATTCCGCTTCCTCATCGGTTGCTTATATTCCTCAAGCGTACATGGACGCCATGAGTTTGATCGAAAAACTTTATTTGGCTTCTCGGTAGCTATCCGTGGTGTCTAGAAGTTTGGCCATTATCTATCTACATATCTGCTCCGGATGATAGCCATTAGTAGAATTACCCTAGTGGAATCAACAATATGGATAATAACACTCATTAACTGCACCGGTTGTGCTCGTTTGTAGAGAATGTACGCCCACAATGGGGTTCTCATAATAAACATAAGGCGATAATGATCATTCCCAACTGAGGGGTGGCATAAAATCGAGTATGATCAAAATATTGCGGTCAGAGTAAAAGACAAACCTGAAGTTATTCGTGTGTATCCAGCAATGCGCGGAAGTAAGGCAATCATACGAAAAACGGGCACTGCGCAACACAGATGATGTCATGTTCAAACAGCGGAGATCTGCTCGTTGAGAAAATTGGGATGGGAGAAACACAGTCAGCAGGTTTTTTCGCAGTCTGTGAAGAAACGACATTCGAACGTCACAAGTTGAAGAGGTTGAGCGCAAGTACAATGTGCCGATGTGGGTCCAAGGAGTCTTGCCTGGTACGTGATAAGCAAATGGTAAATCTCGAAAAATAAGGAACCAGAAGAAAAAATCTTGAGAAACAGCAGTATTCCAGTGATTAAACCGGCCGTTATGAACCAAAAATGAAAACCATTGCTAGGGCTTAGTGGCTTTCCGTAGTTCACGAAAAGCTAAAAAAAGGTGGTGAAGTGGAGGCATTTTTATTAAAGAGAAATGGTAGCTTGAATCTCAGGGCCTCGATTTGAAGCGAGGTTGTACAGATCCACTTATATCGCTGTTGGAGCGGACTCGTACGTAAAAGTTCGTCGGGAGTGTGAGTTAGTGCCGACGCGAAGGAGGGATGAGACATGTACAGAACATCATTGATTTGTGGGGAGGTCAAACTGGAAGTTCACCGAGGTTATGAAACCCAAGGGAATGGTTGTGTGGATTGGAATGAACCCGCCACAGTGGCGGATAAATCCAGGTCATCAGCTTGTCCCCGTTTCAAAACGCGATTCCAAGAAGACGAGAGGGGACACTCCGGAGTGTAGAAAGATGTGCCTTCAGGCTTGTTGTGACAGTGCCGTGCTATAATTGCACGGACGTATCTAGGTTTCTGGACACCCCCGTAGCGGATTTCATCGTTGAAGGAATCGGGCCAGGAATGTGGAATTAGTTGGGCAGCGAGGCTTACGAAATAGCAACGTGGAACCACGTGGGCCGATTAAAACCGATGCAGAATCTTGAATAATTTCAGTCCATGGTTGATGACCCATGTGAATGTAACCCCGGGACATGATTGGTTGGACAGCGATTTGCGAATATTGATGATCGAAGTGAGTTACTTGAGCCACTTCGTCTATAGTGTGCTTAGCGAACTGATACACAGAGTCGAGAATTTCGGCCCAGCTTTTTGGGTCGAGTTTGTCCCTTCGGTCGGGGGCTTCCACTTTACGCCAACTTTCTCACACAGAGGAGTGCCGTTTTTCCTGCCGTTAATCTCCAAAATAAGACAAGCAAAGTGAGTAGTGAAATGTTTTCTTTATGTGGTTGTGAACGTTCCATTGCAGGTGCTCACACCGCACTTCAACATGATTTATAAGGCCTGAAAATAGATTTGTGCAATTGGGTTTCAGCTGCCAGGTTGTTGGGAGCGATCCCTATCGTGCCCAGCCTTAAGCCGCAAAAGGTTCAAGGAGAAGTAATTGACTGTCATCGCACTTATTACAAGCTCTTCTGGGAGACTCAAAACTGGCTGAAAACTTATTCCGTGTAGCATGAACCGGCCACATGCTTTGGAAGTCCGCCAAGTCGGGTTGTACAAAAAGTTTGCAGTTAATTTAGAACATCATGAACATAGGGGGATATGAAACAACATTTCATTTTCGCCGAGAGCGCTTGGTGTTCTAGCAGGGGATGACAGACTTTGACTGGTTGCGGTTACATTCCATGCTGGAAATTGGTTAACGGGCTGGAAAACATGGTAGTGTTTTCTTTGTTGAGCAGATGGTACGAAACAGCCTCCAAAGTAGACTTCTGTTATAAAAAATAAGCGTATCACTCATTTGGGCTGAAATATTTTCATTTGAAGGTTTTTAAAACTAAGCCATATTCAGTCCCCTTCAATCAACGCAGTGAACGGCTGAAGCAACGAAAGAACGTAAGATGAAATTGTACAGTACGCCTGGAACATCTTTGGATAGAGTTAAGAGTGAACCGTATAAAACTCCTTTTGGTTAGTTGCTGGATTTTCAAATCCATGAAAATAACGGAACCCTAACTTGCCAAAGCATGAGCTCCGGATTACAGCTATGAAATGCCCGCTCCGGAGTTAATAACATACATATGTACATATATATACGGTAACTAAATCCAGCTTGTGTGTCAAAGAGATCTTCAAAAAATTGAGCTGCAGGAAATCGAAAGGAAAGTGCAGCATCTGCATGATAGGAACCAACGTGCTTAGATAAAGAAACGGTTGTTTTGTACAAGGGATGCGATCCATCTAATGAGATCACCATGGATGCTTTATGATTAGGGCTTGCAGATCATAAGTTTCTTGGGTGCAGTCGATCACCACGGACCAAAGATGGCATTAAATATCACTCCTTCGTCCATCAGGCCAAAAATATAAGTTGCGTTGAAGCAAATGATGAGGGAATTCTTATCCGAGATTGAATTCAAAGTTACCGCAGGGGGTGATAGAGTGCCGGGTAGCGGTTACCTTCCTTGGTTATAGGCGTCACCACAGGCTTTTACCGGAGATGCGGAGCTGCTTCAAAACAAACAGCATGTTAAAAAAGTATGAAAGGTCCTGGATGAAGGGGGGCCCGAAAAAACGCGTGTGGATCCAATTGCGCTGAAGGTGATGGTTTACCACACTTGTAGTTCCACACACTCCACAGAAATTCTACCGAACTTAGTGCTCTAACAAATAATCGCATGACACTTTAGGGGTACTTAGTAGGATCGAAATGCTCGTTTGAGACGTTAAAACGGTTTAAAAAGCTGCTTAAACTGGCCAGCAGATTCTCCAAGGGCCTCCTACATTTTCGTTCTTACTTATTCCCTGTTTGAACAAGGAATGGCCATCAGGTTTTTCACCGTTGACTCAGCAAACACATGTCTGGGTCATGGTAAGGTTCTCGAGCTCAGCGCGCTTTCACAGGGTATTGTGTTTTCTAATTTCTTGTGGTAGCTGCGTGGAATAACCTTTCTCCAACGGTTGTCCACGCCCCTTCTAGAACCCAGACCAAAGCACAATAGACACTTATTTACGCGAGTCCTCGCACTGGCAAACATGCCCCAGTCTGTGAAATTAGAACAGTGGTACACTCTTTTTTCGCTTGTGCCTTCCGAGAGACGCCGAAAGTCAAGAACAAGACCAACCCGGGAAACTTGGTGGAAAAACTCTATCCTGTGTACCAATCCGTGAAAGCAATCCGTTTAAAGCACTACGGGGATGACCTTCCTCCGATGGTTGTCCACGCTCCTAGAACCCAGTCCAAAGCGATAGTAGACATTTATTTAAGTGAATCCTCGCGCTGGCGAGCATACTGCCCGGCGCTGAGAACATAAAAAGCAGTTCTGCAACCTTTTTTCAGTTGTGCCTTTCAGGTGAACGATAGCCACTGACCGACAAGAACAAAAGCGACCCGGAAAACTTGGGCAATAGCCTCGATCCTGTGTATCAATCAGTGAATCCGTGAATTCCATCTCCTACCAAGTGTGTTGACTGATTTCTGCTCGGCCCGGGTAGGTAGCTCCCTTTCACCTGAAGATTATGATCCGTTAAAAGAATAAAATTCTCGTCTTACCACATTGCGATGCTTTTTTTCGCACATTTTTAACTAAAAATGGGTGTCATTTGGCTCGACAACTCACAGTGTTGACCATAATGCTCACTGGTATTGTTGAACTGAAACTACGAACTGTTGTGGCGAACTAGACCCCGCTACTTACGGTTTGGTTTCGGTCTCGCGGAAGATGCAGATCTTCGTCAAGACACTCACGGGAAAGACCATTACACTTGAGGTTGAAGCGTCGGATACCATCGAAAATGTCAAAGCCAAGATTCAAGACAAGGAGGGGATCCCTCCAGATCAACAGCGATTGATTTTCGCGGGAAAGCAGCTGGAGGACGGCCGTACTCTTTCTGATTACAACATTCAGAAAGAATCCACCCTGCATCTGGTCCTGCGACTCAGGGGTGGCATTATCGAGCCTACTTTGCGCCTGTTAGCACAAAAGTACAACTGTGAGAAGATGATCTGCCGTAAATGCTACGCCAGACTCCACCCGAAAGCTACTAATTGCCGTAAAAGGAAATGTGGACACACGAGCAACCTCCGTCCCAAGAAGAAACTAAAGTAGTTTGCCAAATGTACAATAAAGTATTCACTTATGGTGTTTCGTGTTCTGGTTGCATCTATTTATGGTTAGGGTATTTGAAAACTGGTCGGTCTCACTGCGTTTAACTAGTCCTGTATGATTTATCGCTTTTTAATTCTTGGCCGCAGCACGTCATTAGCTAGCTCATTGTAAATCATTTCCGTGGTACCTGGCATACGTATCGAGATTCTTAGATTAAACTTCATCGCGGGGGTCGACCGACCAGCAAATCCGGACATTTAAGTGTTAGTCAAATGGTCAACTTATGTTCGTTGGACGATCTGGTAAGTTTTAGTGGTCCTGTGCTACACATGTCGAAACACGGTATACCGAGACAAGTTCTGTTCTTCGTGCCTCCTTCAGAGTGGGGCAAACTGCGAGGTGTACACTGCGCGAGCTGGAAGAAGGGCATGAAAGAGATTACGAAGAGTTAAGGTGCTTCTGATGCAGTATGCCTTTTAGGACGGGGCCCAATGACTCCTGCGCTTGGCTGGTTGGGTTGCAAGTGACCGTTAGTCGATGATAGTGGCGTTCGTACAATCCGTTTTCTTCCCGATTGTCTGATTGAGCGCTTGGGGGTGTAGACACCTCAGTGCTTGTGATAGTTCACACCACGTCCCCTCACTAGCCGATTCTTTTCACTATAAAGCTTCAAATATAATTAAGTAAAATTTGTGGGTGTATGTCAGTGAAGCGTCAATATCAGTACTGGTTTTGCTGTCTCTGATGGTAACTTGAAGATAGACCCAGATCATTGCTCAGGAGTTTTGGCGATTGGTCAAGCTTCCGAACGTAAGCCTTTGAGACGGTGAATACGGATACTTGGTTATAGCGCCGCTCCTCGAGATTGGGGAGGTTTACAGATAGATCAAGGTCTAAAAGTTGCGAAAGCATTTCAGAGAACCCTAAATCATGTTCATCCTCTGGCGACAACAATACTTTAGGCTCCTTGTTCCATGCAGTCACTATTCGAAGCGAGAACAGACGATTTCTTGCAGCAGTTCTTACCTTAGACGTTTTCTTCCACTTTTCATGTTGTTAGCTTCATATTGCACACTTACGTGTTATCAGTTGGTGACGAAACATTCACAAGCTGATTGTCAAGGTTAGCGAACAAATCAGATGCCAGTAAGGTGGAGCAATTTGCATGACAGCCATGCACCGAAAGGTGTAAAATGTAGGGCCGTGTACGCTGCTGGAGCCGTGCTAAATCAGAGATGCTAGGGTCATATGTATCTGGAGATGCAGGTGCATTGCCCCGGCACGGGGTTGAGACATAAGTATGATCGATATCATCTCCAATGTTATTGAGCGGAGGCGTGTGCAAGTCAGATAGAAGGGGTGCATGAACACCGTTGTCTTCATTGGATGAGGTACGCGTGAAATCGTTGACATGTGTGCGATCACCACAAGG